CACCCCCCTCTATTTACATGTAATGGTTTGGTCCCGCCTCCGCCTCCAAATGGCACTTTCTAGCAGAGAGTGAGAGCATGTGAGGAGCAGGGATGCTAGTACTTATGTGTGTGCCATGTCTCAACGACTCACAAAGTCAGGCTTTCAAAAAGAAAAGAAAGGAGAGAACGAAAAGAGATAGGGACTAAAGGGCGACAGTATGTCACCCAGTATTTCAAGAGAAAAGGTGGGTGTGGTCCATGAGTGGTGGAAATTAGTCTGTTAGCTAAGCGTAGTCCAGGGGCATCGCCTGGACCTGGAAACATTCCTGGCTTAGCCCACAGTGGCGGCGCTACAGTCAAATGTTCTACTGCAAGACTCCCCACACGCACATACACAATTGTGCCATCTGGTGTCACAAACGTGTGCCTGCATTAGCTTTGTTACGGCAATGGATTGTGGGAGATTCTCATAGCACGTGAGGATCTCTTGAGGGTAAGGTGTCTGTATTATCTCGGTGGACAAAATGTATGTTTTTATTTTATAAGGACAATAACGTACTGTTGCGTTTGTTTAGTTTAATGTTAATTGTTTGTAACAATTACATTGACATTTTGAATTTCAATGTAATTGTAGTATAGTGATTTCAATGCCACCCCAAAATGGTCACTGGTTCCATCCTGGCCACCCCACTGAAAATGTCCTGGCTCCGCCACTGCTTATCGATACTTTTCAATAATTTGGTGCTCAAAATTATAGACATGTATACAAGATGTGAAGATTAAACAACAGTCATTTTATCGTAATTTATTTGTATTTATTATTTAATGTAACTTTTTCAATGTCATACCAAGCAGGTATGAGTGTGTTTGACAATGTGTCTCTGGAAGGGGGGCTGTAATTAGGGGCAGTTCATAAATCCATGTAAACNGCCAGCCTTAGTGTGTGCGTGTGTGTGTGTGTGTGTGTGTGTGTGTGCGTGCGTGCGTGCGTGTTGGGGGTAGTCTGTGACAGCTCAGTGATCAAAACCAGGTTTTGATCACTGAGCTGTCACAGACTACCCCCAACACGCACGCACGCACGCACACACACACACACACACACACACACACGCACACACTAAGGCTGGCAGCTTTAGCCTGAGCAAATGAAAGAAGGTCTTTCACTCAACCCTCTTTTGATGCTGATCACTAAAGCAAGTATTTCAGGATACACAAGTCATTATGGGTTTAGCTCCACTCAGGCACATTCAATTGACCTTATTAGTTCTAAAAATATGTATAAATAATGTTTTAGCACACTAGATTTGCTGTACATTTTGTTTTTTATGTAAACGATTTTAGATTGTGACACAAATGAAAAAGTGTAGCAACCACAGGAAAGTAAATTTACTGAAGAAATGTTCTGCGCTGTACTGGGTGTGAAAAGTAGTGGTTCCGTATTCTATTCAAACCCATATGGATTCAGGAACAAAAACAGATGCATAGGCAGAGGAGAGGATAAATGTAGAGGAGAGGAGTGTGGACGGATGGATTTTTCCTCTTTTCCTCAGTGAGCCGTCGTGACAGCTCCTTTCATCCTGGCTGAGGCCCCGGTGTTAGTGCTGGCACTGCACTCTGCCTGCCACTTTATCTTACACACACACACACACACACACACACACACACACACACACACACACACACACACACACACACACACACACACACACACACACACACACACACACACACACACATAGATGTCGAACCCTCCTGAACCCTGTTTTAGTGAGGCTCCAGCCGCAGCACATGAAATCTGTTTATATCATTTGGTAGCTGTGAAAGTGTTGGTTTGGACCACAGTGTCAGCCTCAGGTCCACAGTCTATAAAGCAAGGGACAGAGACAGGAAGAAGGAAGAACAGTGGAAAAATAATGTGAAATGTTCACTTTCTGTGTCAAAAACTTCTCTTGAAGCCTCTTTGTGTCCCCCCTTTATCAACGATCCTCATCTTTCGTCTTTTCTTGCCTTTTTAAATGTCTTCTAAAGGAGATACTTTAACCCAAAAATAAAAATACATATTCTTCCTCTTTCCTGTAATAGTGCTATGAGTTGGAAGATGGAAATATCAGCCATAGAGATGTTTGCCTTCTTTCAAATATAATAGAACTAGATGTCTCTTGGCGTGTAAAAAATAGTTGGAAAACCTCAACAGTAATGTCTCTTTCCAGGAATCATGACCCGGTTACTGAAGATTATTCAAAGACGTTGCAGTTTCATGTAGGAACTATTTTCTTTCTACCAAACTACACCCTTCACCGAGTGCGCCTCTTGCCCATTAGTAGATTTAATGCTTCCTTCTCCATTTCTATATTCTTTGCGGGTATATATAGCTAGAAAAATACAGCTCCAACTTGAATAAGTATTTTAGATTTTTGGTTGTACTGTCCCCTTTAAACATGCTCCTGTCCTCTTCTCACCTCTCTCTCTCTCCTGCTCCCTCCTCTGTCCCTCTCTAAACCTGTGGCTCAGCACCATTAAGCCGCAGTGCTGGGTTGCCAGTTTCTAATGATTATTTGGTAAGAACGGTATGCCCCGTTGACTGAGCTGGCGGGATGCTTATCTGGCAGTTACTGGCCTGCATTTTAGGACTTAAGTTTCACAAAATACTTACTGGGTCATTGCTGAGAGAGGGAACAGGGTGAGCCTGAGAGTCAAAATACAATAATACTTTGTTCGTGTTCATTGTGAGTGTAGCACAGTTTGCATGGCTGGTTTAAGTCTTTGTAATGAGTTTCTTATTCAGGCCTGATGTGCACATTATGAACATTATCAAAGAATCTTATACACACACCAAGACCTGCACATATTGCACAATAAGGGTGGTCAGCACAAATGAAGTGTTATTCATGGAGTGATGTAGGGAGTTTTTGGCGTGTGAATGTCTTGTGCGGTGGTTCTTGAAACTTTCCTCAGCTCTTGGTGTGCTCTCTGCAGCAGCGCACCCATAGCCAGGAGCTGTGGTGCGTGCATAAGGTGCTGACGTCCCAGGTTTCTAAGGATCACCTTGCCTTGTAATTACCTGGGAATCATCAGAGAGCAGCCGACGCTGTCACTCCATAATCACAACCCTCAACCTCTCTGCCTCCTCCTCGACCTTCCCTCACTTCTGTTGTTTGGACTACACCTCTGTCTTGTTTCTGTCTCACCCTCTTTTTCTCTCTCATTAGCCCACTTTGTTTATTTGTCTCATCCTCGATTCGTCCCGGACGCTCAAACGTTTTTTGGAGGGGTGTTCCACAGTAAAGTAGGAACGTGCAGTTGAAGTGCAGAGAAAGCTTTGCACTGTCACTCCTTTTTCTCTCATGTTGTCGGGTCTAATTGTCAGCGCGTCTCTCTGAACAATGTTGTTGTTTACTCTCCTCGACTAAACAACATCTCCATCTCCAGACTCATTAGTATCCAATTGAAGCAGCCAACACTGCTCGAGGCTGAAGCCAATAGCCTATTAGCCAGCACGTAATCAAGGAGTTTATTTCTATAAAACAACTCATAAAGAGTTAGCTGTGAGATGTAGCAGCTTTATAGCCCTCCTGTTATTCACAGCCTATACTGTGTGTTATTTAGAAAACACACCTTCAATGAGACCATTATGATATGTGTGTCTCCCTCCTCCCTCTCCTCTATTAGGCAATATATGGTAACACTTAAAACGGAGGGAAATTGAAAAAAAAATGGCCCATGTTGCAGATTTGGAGCTTGATGGCTTCCCGTAAGGCAGGAGGCGACGGGCACAATCCATCATTCATAACTGACTGAAGGAGGGGGGGAAAGGAGCGAAACGACAACAAACAGACTGTTTAAGACAGAAATGGCACCATGGCAACCGATTGCTATCTAATTGCGATGTGCCGCCCTTTTGCGTGTAGCTCCCGTAACCACTGGCAACCGTAGCAAGAGAGAGACAACATTAGAGAAGATGAGAGAGATCGTTTGAGGGTCGGTCAAAGCAAGAAGAAGGGAGAGAAAAAACAAAAAAGGACATTCAAAACGAAAAAGAGACACAGTTAAAGGAAGGCACGGAAGTCAGAGAAAACGGTGTAAACACTTCTCAGTATCGAGAAGCATTCTGGAAATGCCGTCATGTTGCCCGACTAGACGCAGTTAACCATTCGTCTCGCCGCAACTGTACCTCCGCAGCTACCTCTTATACTTAAAAAGCCCCGCCGACCTGAAATACACACACACACACACACACACACACACACACACACACACACACACACACACACACACACACACACAAACACACACCAGTCTGAACACGCCGCAGTATTGTTGCCCTCACAAGTACAGGTTTGGAGAACGGTGTGAAGTGAGAGGTTAGAGGGAAGGAGAGAAGTCAGAGTCCCCGCAGGGCCTGAGTGATGAAGACAAACAGCTGACAGGCTCCTCTGCATCAGCTGGATTTCCCGCTCCTCTCCTCCTTTTCTCTGCGTTTGTTTTGCAGCTGGTTGCTGAGGTGGCACTATTAAGTCGCATCACTTAATGCAGTTCAAGCAATACAAAAGTATATCTGGATTTTGTTAAGAAATTCAATCGAAATTTTTAAATGAACACAACAACACACTTGAAATCTCATTTTAAAGACAGACATAATTGGGTGTTGTTTGCTGCAGCCATTATATTAAAGTCAGTTTTCACTTATATATATTTTTAATTTCATTTCTTTATTGATTTTCACTCCGACTCTCTTTCTAGGATAATTGCTATACATCCACAATAACACTTGTGTACGTATGTGAATATATATATGGATGTATGGTCGTATATATACACTATAATTGTATGTCGGATATGTGTGTGTATGTGTGTATGTATCTCTTGTTATATTATTCAGTTTGCTTCAGTTTGCTTTGTAAAACAATCCTTATGTCCGCATAGGAGACAATGTTTTTGTTTCCAGCTGTCCTGTTCTCCAATCCAATCCACTGTCTCCTCGTTTACGTTTATTTATTGTTTTGATTTGTGTTCCATCAGGCTGGCGGCTCCCAGGTGATCTTCACCAACCCTCTGGAGATTGTAAAGATCCGTCTGCAGGTGGCAGGAGAGATCACCACGGGGCCGAGGGTCAGCGCCCTGTCCGTCATCAGAGACCTCGGCTTCTTTGGACTTTACAAGGTGAGAAACATGGCAGGGGTCAGAGGTGCACAAATGTCTGAGCCACAAGTCGTTCTTCAAGTAGCTTTTTCCACCCCTGCTACAGTATGTTGATGTTATCTGCTTGTATTTTACCAGAATATACAGAGTTTTAACATGCAAATGCAATTCAACTGCTATTAAATATAAAATGAAGAGATATGTAAAGTGCAAATGAAAGGGCCGTTTTTATACAACTTTTCTGAAAGTATAAATATCTGTATTTTACACAAGAAATTAGATTTTTCATAGTTTAGTTTTATACTTATTTGTAATGTAATCTGTAGAATGAAGAGCAGCATAATCCCTGAAGGCAGCTAACTTGAAATGCTACAGACTACATACTGGAAAAGTTATACCTGAAGTATTTTGTTCAGTAGTTCTATTTTGCTGAAGTCAAAGTAGGATCAAGTGCTGTTACATATTTCTGTGAATTTAGAGATGCACAAAAACAACGTTTCCTCCGCTCCTCTCCAAGGAAACATTCCCTGTCATGTCATTTCATGTCAATCTGTCCTCCTGCATTAAAACCCACAAAAACAATATTTAATTTAGTCTCTTAATAACCAATATATGTAAGCATGTACCTCATTTAATTCAGAATAAAACTGTTAGGGTATTCAGTTTGAAAAGCAATCAATAGGCTGAAGAGATGTACCCGTCTGGCCAATACAACATTATGGTTATGAGGTTATTAGACATTGTTTTCTTTGATGTAATAGACAGAACTTCAAATTGTAACTCTCATTTATCTTTAATGGAGTCGTGCAGGAAGCCCAGAGCCATGTTTCCTGGATCACAGTTAGATTTGTTGTGACTAGATTAATTAGACGTCCAGTATCCATTCTATTGTATTTTCATCAGCCTCACAATTTCACAGCAATCCATTATTTCTCATTACTGTTATGACTAAATCATATGTGATATTGCTAGGAACTCTAACACAATTATACGTTACTTCCCCCCACATCAGCCACAATTTAAATCAACAATTCCATGTGGTCTTCTGTTCAAGAACAAGAAAAGACACAATTTATGCTAAAAGCTGTATTTAACCTTAATTGCCATAATTGATATTTTTCAATGGCACAGGGTTTAAAATTACAGTACACTGTTTGACCTTATTAGAGTTTTATGATATTATGCACCCAACGCATTGTAAGGAAAGCATGAAAGATTGTAGTTCATAAGGGGCTAATATAAAAATGATTTTGCGTTGGTGTGTTTTAAAGACTATTTTCTGCATGTTATAATTATAATTCTTATAATAATCATGACTTCTAACAGCTGTAAGGTACTGTAACGACGAAACGCCGTTACTGCTATTTATTAAATGGCATTAATTATATAAGTGTTCACCCCTCATCTTGTCTGTTGTTTCCGGTCGTCTCTGTGTTCCCTCCTGCTGATTACCCAATTGTGTTCACCTGGTGCCCTGTGTTTGCTCCTCCCCCCTCACCTGTGTCTTGTTAGTCTGTGTATTTAAGTGCTGTTTCTTGTTGGGAGTAGTGGGTGTGTGAGATCCTGGTGGCTGCAGGCTGGGCTCGTGTGAACAGCAGCAGGATTGAGGCTGTGTGTGAACTTTTTGAACATTGTTTTAATAAATGCCCACGTCGGGTTATATTTTTGGACGTTCTGCCTCTGCCTCCTTGCTTGGTCGGGCCACTCAACGGCGGTCAGCTTCACAAATGGTGTCAGAAGTGGGATTCGACCAAGTGAGGAGGTGACAATGACGAGAGGAAAGAAGAGGGACCAAGGAGAGGAACCGCGGCTGGGGGTGGCTTGGCCTGGAACTGACCAGGGGGCCACGGCTGCTGAAGCAGCAGGAGAAGAGAGACAAGCAGGAGGAGACGAGAGACAAGGAGGAGAAGCTAACGGAGACAAAGAGGAGAAGCTAACGGACGAGCTAACGGAGACAAGGACTGTGTCCCAATTCAGCGGCCGCATCCTCCTGAGGATGCATTCGGAGACCGCATACGTCACTTCCGCCAAACGAAGGCTGTCCCAATTCAAAAGAAAGACAAGACTCCTCCGAATGCGGCCCGCAAATGCAGCCTTCTTTCCCCAGATTTAGAGGATACATCTGATTTTTTATATGCCCTGTATACCTCTTACTATGAAGAAGTATATATATTTATTTAATAGTACATTTTTTATTATTTTTTCTTCTTGTAGAGTGTATACGGGCATATAATATTGTGTTTTATATTTTTATCCAAATGATAAAATGAAGTTACATGCATAATGATAATACCCTTACTTCATGTAAAATTTTTGCTTAGGTCGACTTGTGTTCAACATTCGGCAACTACCCTTGCAATGTCTGGTATATTATAAAAAATTGAGTAAGGCAGTGGCAGTGTGGCAACGTGGACCCTCTATACCATGTGCTC